GAATGAAGGAAAGCCACATACTCGCATCAACCACCTCCAAATGAAAGGCAGAGCAGCACATCAGATAAGTTGTGGGTGGGGTTATGGTTTAGCAGAGCCATTTCTAGAAGCAGCACTGATAGGATCAGGGCTGAACAGGAGGAAACATCCAGATGCCTTGGTGCATGTGATCTACAGATCCCTCATCAGCTCTGCCCAAACCTCCCTGGATTACAAGGTTTGTTTTTTTTGGCAAAGCTCAAAATTAAGTTGATGTGAAGCCTGATTTTCTAAGACCTAGATGCAGCCCTGGCTGTGGTTTCAGGCAGTTATCAGCGTCTGATCAGAGCCAACTGCACTGGAAGCAGAAACTTATCTGTACACACATGCTTGAGACATTTAGCTAATGGCAGTGATGCGACAGTGCCACTAACCAAGCCAGCGCCTGACAGCTAAACTTACATGTTAGGCACAGTACCCTGGCCTCTACTTCCTGCCACAGCAAGCTGCAGTCATTGAAATCATTTTCATGGTGGGGCAAGTTTCCCAGAGGGTTGCAGCATGTGCTACATGCCCAACTGTTCTTTGCCTCCATAGATATTCCCTTCCCCCTGAGCTCCAGAAGTGCACTCCCTGCCACAGGTGTACAGGATGTGACATGATTCAAGAGATCAGTGTGAAAAGAGACAGAGTGTGTTAGCAAGGAGTCTGGCCCCTGTCCTGGAGTTCCTCCTCCAATGTATCCTGATCCTTGTGGAAACCAAAACACTCATAACCCTGCATTGTATTCTAGCCCAAGAAAGGACACTCTTCCCTGACTGTTTTTACCTTCTCTTAGGCTATCCAGGCTGTTCTAGAAAGCCTCCCAGTCATACAATGAAGACGAGTCGCATGACAGCTCCCACGTGCCATCATAAGGGCTCCTGTTCTAGCTTCAGGGTCTTGGCTTGGTGTCAAACGGAACTTCCCCTTCCTAATCAACCCACAGTTGCTTTTGGCAAATGATTAGCTTTGTTCTTTATAGCTAGAGCTCTTGGCCCAGCACAAAGGAGCCCGGAAGGTTGAGGAAAGTAGTTGCTACCAAGTTGTAGAATGTGTCAGGACTTGTCTCCATGGGGAAGGTCACAGGCAAACTGCATAAGCTTAATCAATCACAAGCAGAAAACAAAGCTCAAAGTCAGCCTGACCCCAAATGGCCCCGCAGGCTGGCAGGCATGCTAGTCTCCAGCTAAGGCACACAAGGCAGGACGTGGCTGGCATCATGTCCAACCCCTTTCAACTCCTCGGCCAGAAACAACTCAGCCCGTTTATGGTTGGGCTAACCAGGGGCCTCTAGGATGAGGCTACAGCAAGGTTCACATTCACACCCTGGGATCCAGGGAGCTGTTCTCACCCTTCTGCCATTCTATTCCAACATCAGACTGGCATCGGTGTCCATATGGACAGAATGAGGGGGGCTTTGCTGCCTTTGTGGCTGGCACTTCTTTCAGTCTGACACAGTCCAACTGTAGACTTGTTCCTCAGAGTTATGCCCCATACCCACTCCCTACCACAGGGAAAGAAGGGACTGGTGAACAACCAGCAGCCCAAACATCCAACTGGAGTCAAAATCAAGGCCTACAGGACAGTGGCCCAGACAGCCCGATTCTAACCTCAGCCCTTTTGCTAACTTGCTGTGTGACCTTGGGCAAGTCACTGCCATCCTGTGCCTCAGTTTCCCCTCCCATCTTTTGGGGCTGGCCTCCCTATCTCTAACAACGTGGTTCCATAGCTCAGGTCCCTTGGATGAGGTTTCCAACATTTCACATCACATCACTACCACCTTGAATGTTCCCCTCAGGAGAAATAAAACAAAAACTTCTGCAAGATTCCTTCCCCTCACAAGGAATCAATGCTTAAAGCATGTTCATGAGTTTGGTTCAGTTACCTTAAGAACCATGGAGTAGAAAAGGAAGAGGAGTTTCACCCACACAACCGTCTCCATAGAGCCAGGCAAGATGATTGTCCTTGACCACCCACTGGCCAGCAGGGAGCCCCACCCTGCTTAGAAGTAAGTTCCAAAAAATCAATGCGACTTGATTAGACCTGCTGGAATGATCCTCACAGCAGGAAGCAGGTGGTCCAAGGAGGACACGCCGAAGCCAGAGGGCCCTGATGCCCTAGTTAAGAAGAGGAGTATCTCCTGCAGAAGCCCATGGTCACCTGAAGGAACTGGCCTGCCCCACCACAGGCAGGCTAGAAAGAATCAGCTCCTCACCTCCTGGACTAGTGGCTGCTGGAAGAGTGGAATGAGAGGGTTGGTCCTTGGAATGTCGATGTGGATCTGAAAGGAGAGCGGGTCGTGCATGTCAGCCACATGGGTCAGAGGGATCAGCTGTTACACAGATCAGTGGGGCTGTTTGGTGGAGGGGAAAGCTGCCTCCCTCTGCAGGCCCAGAGGAACAGCAAGGAGGCTGAGGA